GCCGCCTGGCGCTGGAGCACCGCGACTCTGTGAAGCACCATCGCAATCCAAGTGCCCTCAAGAAGCTGCAGCACTACAAACGCTGCATGGAAACGGCGGCGGCTAACATCGACAAGAAGTACCGGGCGCCGGAGCGGGCTTCCAGCCTCGAGGAGAGGATTGGCGCCACAGTTAAATTCATTTGTGCGGTGGAGAACGGCTTCATGAACAGCATCTCGGATAGTTTGTTGCGGCGCCCGCTCCTGAAGAACATCGCAGGCAATCCCTGCGCCCCCGACCGAAGCAACTCCCGCGACCTCTGCCCGGCCAGGGACCACGCGATTGAGCTCGCACGGGAACGCACTTGCCACAGAGACCCTACCTCGGGCCACGCCCAGCGCGCCATGCAGGCCGGGCAACGGAACGCGAGGCTCTTCTACAGGATTGCCCCCGGCCGTTCCTGCAGCGCCAGCGCCGTCGTGGGCGCCGCCGGGGAGATCCAGGTCACGCCAGACAGAATGGCCGCCGTCCTCCGCGAGCACTGGTCGAAGATTTTCACGACCCGCGGCATCGACGACGCCCTGCTGGAGAAGTGGCTGGACGACGACATGACCAGCAGACCGGCCAGTGAGCGGCAGCCCTTCCCCCGCGGAGAATTTAGGCTCAAGAAAAAGAACATCCGCCACGCCATCTTGAATGCCGAGAACACCGCCCCCGGCCCCGACGGGATTCCATTCCGGGCTTGGTCGCGCGCGCAGGCCCTGTCCGCGGACATCTTCCACGGGGCGGCCAAGGCGCTGCGATGGAGGCGGACTACGAGGATTTCAAGGTCAGTCTCCTGTGAAGGCGTCGAGCACTTGCCCGACCAGCGAGGGCTACTACGAGGCCGCGAACGTCCGCCCGCTGAACGCGACGAACACCGACAATCGGCTGCTCGCCAACGCCGTCCGCATGGCGATCGAGAAGCGCGTCGGCTCCAGGGCTCCCATTTTCGAGCGGGGTTCCATTGGGGGCTCATCGGGGCCGCCCCCATCCTCGCCAACCTGGTCGACGTCGAGGAGGCGATGGCGCTAGGCGCTTGTGAGCCCGAGGGCGCCGCGGCCATGTTATTCGACTTCGCGGCGGCTTCCCCGCCCATTGAGCACGTCTTCACGAGAGAGACATTCTGGAAGTTGGGCCGGCCACCGCGGCCACCCAACTTCATCGACGCGTTGCGCGCGAGGAACCGGCGCGCCATCGTCTCGGGCGGCCCTGGGCATCGGGGCTTCCACGCCACAGGGGGCATCCGCCAAGGCTGCCCTCTATCCCTGTCCCTGTTTTCCGTGGCCTCCAACCTATTGCCGTGCGCAATGCTGTGGAAGATCCCGGCGGCGCGCTCGGGGCTTCACATTTGGGTGCATTTCACTGCTTTGAAAAAAATTCAGCGAGTGCGGGCAAATTTCGGGCCTGGCGCTTAACGTCGGCCAGACGGTTCTGGCGCCTTTGGCCCCGTTCGACGCCCAGGCCGCCCGGGGGCGCCCGCGAAGCGTCGCCCCCGCGCGGGGCGGCCTGGAGATCAGCTCTGAAGCCAAATACTTGGAAGGCGTGGCGGGCCCGGGCCGGGGGGGGCCGCCCCGGCGCGCGCCGCTCGACAAATGCGCGACCAGAGCGAAATTTCAGGGGGCAGTAGGCCCGGGCATGATGGACACGCTGGACCCGCACTCGGTCTTCATAGCGCCCGTGCTCTCAATCATATCCCAACTGGGCCCGCTGCCGCCGCCCTTCGGATTATGTTCCCGGCCCCCTCGGAGTGGATGTCGGCCAGCTGCTTGAAATCGCTCATTTTTTTCTTGTCCGAAGGATCTGTTCGACGCCCACCGGTCGGCCGCGGCGGCGCGGGCGCGCGCGGCGCTGTTCGAGAGCGCGGCGAACGGAGGCCTTCGAGTCCAGATGCGGGCCAAGGCGCTCGGGCAGGCGATTTGCTGGCCGAGGAATGCCGCCCTCGCGGCTTGCATGCTTCCTTGGTTGCCCCAGAGCTTCTGGTTCTCATTATCCGACGCCGTCGACCAAGTCCAGCCCAGGGAGCGACGCCTTCACGTTGAAGCGTCGGTGCTGCGCCGCGACGGCCACGCAGTCCAGGAGCGCGAGGGCCGGCAGGCCCGCGCAAGGGAGCTTCTCAATCCACGCGGCGAGGGCTTGGCCAGAGCGCGCGCCCGGGCCCGCCTCGACGGGTGGCGTTCCCCAACCCTGCCTGGCCACCGAGTCCACAGATGGTTGAGCACTTTACGAGTTACGTCAGCCTGGCTACCGCCGAGGGTGACAGCTTGCCAATTGCGGACGGCGTTCAGCGGTTGGCTGACGGGCCGCCGAATGCAAGGCAACGGCAAGTGCATATTTGGATGCAGGGCCGAAGACAGCATCGAGCACTATGCCTTCTGCATGTCGTTCCACCACGCGTGCACTCGGAAGCGGATCTTGCGCAAGCCACCTCCTGAGTGTTGCTTCGCTGATGTTCTGGGCACTGCCCCACATACCGTTAAACCTTATCAGGCTCCGGCCAAAAAGGCCGCGGCGGCCAGAGCCATTGCTGCATATGCCCTGGACAGGACGCACAGCGCCGTCCGGCACGGCGCTGGATCCATTGCAGGTGCGGAGCTTCTGATTGGTTTTCTACGCGAGGCTATTCGTGGCCGCGCGAAAGCTCTGGGCCTCATGGTTTCCGCCTTCAAGCGACCGCGCCATATGAGTGAGGGCGGCCTGCGCTTCTTCCCTCCTCTTCCCTCGCCTCCCTCCTCTCCCCCCTCCCCCCTCCATCCAAGGTCTGGGTCTTTCGGTCGTGGCCGGCTGGCGACGGCTCTCGCCTGGCGAGGCCGACGAGTGTGAATGCGAATTTTTTAACGCGGGCCGCGCAGCGGCCAGGGGTGCAGTCCCAGGGCCCTATATAGGACTAAAGCCGAAACGACGGCGGCGGCGCACATTGTTGTAGCAGATGGGAACCTGTCTGTGCCGGCATATGTGTGCACGTTCAAAATTTGTTTTAAGACCGGATTTGCCTGCTGTGCTATTCGCTACAGTTCGGCAGAGGGGCAGAGTGGTTGCATTCTTCACAACGAGTTTGCTGAGGAGGCGCGCGTTCGCCGTGAGCGTTCTGTTGCAAGTTTTTCGCCACTCCGCATTTTCGGTTGCTTCGGACTCCCCCCTCTCCTCTCTTTCCTCCTGCGGTCGCCCCCTGGAGGCGGAGCTCAGGCTTACCCTGCTGGGGCAGGCCTGCTCTCTGCCTTCTCTGCCTGCTCCTCCTCTCTCCCCCCATTTGGCCAGTGCCCACGCGGCCACCGGGGCTCACTGCTTCGAGGGTGGCCGGCGGGTCGGGCGGGGCCCAGGAGACAATTCGGCGGCTGCCACCTTGCGGGAGGTGGTATCCACGTGCGCACTGCTGCCATTGTTGAGGTCGGCGCTGTCAGCGAGGCTCCGGCATGGGGGGGCATGCCGCGCCTGTTTCGTGGCTCTTGCGCCACCTTTTTAGGTCGTTGTTTTTTTGCGGGTCTGATCAGCCCTCTCCGCTTGCCTCCTCTCCTCCCGCCTTACTTCAGCTGATCGAGCTGCCGCCTGGCCGTTCGACGATCGAGGGCGTGCAGGTTTGCGTGGTGATTCACGGAGCTTCGTGTTGCGCCCTAGTTTTGTATACAACCCTAGCTTGCTTGATGTTTCCCCCCTCCTTCGTCCTTTTCCTCCCCCTCGTCTTCCCTTCTCCCTGGACTCTAGGTGTCACTTTGTTGCTCGCTCTGCCCAGTCTCGGTTGCGACCGCTTTGGTTGCCACCGCGAGGTCTTACTCCGGGTGCGATTTCTTTTTCTCCAGCAAGCAGTGCACGTGTCTCCCAGTTTGTTCATTGGATAGTTTAACTGTCCGCATGTCTGATCTCCCGCATGTTCCACCTGAATTTCTTTCGCGCCGCCTGTGGAGGCTTTCGCTGGGATGTCCGCTCTCCTCTTCTCCCTTCAAAAAAATCTATACCTTACGACATCAAGGCGTTCAGACATCATTAAGACATCAAGTCATTCATACATTAACACATAAAGACATGAAGACTTTAAGACATCAAGACATTGAACATTCATACATTAAGACCTTAAGACATTAAGACAGTACGACATTGAGACACTAAGACATTAGGACATTCAGCCATCCAGAAATGAAACCATTAAGACATTAAGAAAGTAAGACGGTACTGCATTGAAACATCACGACATTAAGACACTATTACGTGAAGATAACAATATGCCAATACATTTAGACATTAAGACATTAAGACATTACGACATACATGCATTAAGACAGTAATGCATGAATACATGAAGATATGAAGACACTAAGACGTTCAGACATGCTGACATTCAGACATTCAGACATTAAGACATGCGTGAGTGCGCGTGTGCGTATGTGCGTATGCGCGTCGGTGCGTGGGAGCGTGGGAGCGTGTGTGCGTGTGTGCGTATGTGTGTGTGTGCGTGTGTGAGGGTGTATGTGTGTGTGTGTGTTCGTGTGTCTGTGTCTGTGTGAGTGCAGACAGCTTAGCGGGTCGCCCACAGCGCTTTTACGCATCCTCTTTTCTGGGTTCTCACCGCATGCCTCCGCACGTGCACGGCTTCGGTTTTCTTTTCTGCGTCTGTCATCCCTTGGTCGGTTGGCATCCCATCGGCACACGTTTGGCGGTAATCAGCTCAGCACATCCCGCTGATGCCCTCGCTGTGTTGGACCAGACGGCTGCGAAGCAACACGTGTGTGCGGACAGTAGGGAACGCCCGGTGGGCATCTTTGCGCGCCGGCTTCACGTGACCCTGCCTACGCAGCCCCCTATCTGCACTGCCAGGTGGAATTGAGGCCGAGCGTGCTCCGCCTTCGCTCTCTCTGCAGTGACGTCGCTCGGCCGCTGCAGGGAAAATCGTGTGCGCGGACGGCAGGCCCCCGACAAGCCCCCGACAGGCCCAGAGCTGGCCCGGCACCAGCGCAGAGCGACGCGGATGGCCGGCGCGCCCCGGCCAGGCGCAATATTGAGCACTTGCGCCTCGGCAAGCGCCAGCTCGAAGCCCAGGCGGCCCCGTGCTTCAGGGGCAACGACACATTCAACCCGCACGGTGAGGATGAGCGGCTTTCCAAGGATCCCCTTGCATTCTTCCCCTTCGGCCCATGCTTGGCCGCTTTCGTTGGCCCCGCCCCGCTCGCAAAGTGTGTGCATGGCCTTCCAAGGCTATTGCATCCTTATCGCGCGTCTTTATTTTTAATGCGGGTTGGCTGTAGGGGAATAGGCTCGGGGGGGGGGGGCGACGCATCGACCCACGGTCGCCCACTTCTCGCCGGTAGGGGCCGACAGCGGGGCACTGTCAGTTATGATCGGGTATAGCCAGGACCCCGGTTAAGGGGAGCCGGTTAGTGATTGGGCCCCGAAGCCCAACATATGAGTTGGAATCGCTAAAACCAGGTTTGCCGTAGCTGGTGCTTTTCGGGTGACGGCAGTTCTGGTTAGTGGAACGGGGCGGGGGGGGCGTCCTCCAGTACACACCACGGAACCAGGTCCCACTGAACCCAGTTCTGCCAACGCCCGATATCAGTCGCCGAAACCAGGTCGACGTTTCCCCGTGGCGTTGCCCCTCGGTGTTGCTCCGGGCGCCCGCCGCCAGAGGCCGCCTGGCCCACGAACTACTCTGCCGGAGGGCGGGGCTCCCATCTGGCTCGGGGGTCGACGCGGACCACGATCCGCCCCACAGGGTCCATTTCCAGGCGTGCTCGCGTCGTAGAAGAGCCCGGCGGGCGTTGTTGGGCCTTCGTCGGCATCCGCGGGGCCCCGCCGAACCCGGGGACAGTGAAAAAAATTGCCCATGGTGAAAAGCAGGCTTTGGGGAAAGGGGCGATTTTTCAGGGCACACCGCATTGGAAACACAAGATATCGGATGTGTGGGTTTTGATCCGATCTGTCCGATTCGATGTTGGTTTTGGCCAGCACCGCTCGATCCAGATCTTCCAGCAGTCCGCTGCGGCCCGATATTCGCACGGCGTCGACGCGCATGTTGGCGTGACCGATCCGTTTTGTCTCCAACTCCGTGCCGATGCGGGCCCGATCCGGTGCACATTCCGATCCGATTCGATGGTGATTGATTTTGATCCTCCACCTCTGCCGCCAAGAAGATCTTCGGCGGCGAGCTTGGGGGGGAAGTGAGCGGGGGCTGACCTTCTCAGAAGGCGGCGGGGCTTTTCAGAAGCCGTTGCGCTTCCTGAGGAGTCTCTTGAGCGGCTTTTCAGAAGGGGCGGGGGCTTCTGGTCGCGCCGCCTTCTGAGAAAGCCGTCCCCCTCTCACTTCCCCCCTGGCTCGTCGCCAAAACCTCTGCATCGCCTCGGAGCCGAACCCTGCCGTGCCCTGGGGCCCCGAAAAGCGGTGGACGTGGGCACGTGTCCGCCCCCGCGGGCGGGGGAATGCAAATGCGCGCGCACTGGCCCCCAGGGCCCAGGGCATGACTCCAGCAGCTTGGTCGCTGCGCTTTTTGGGCCGGCACGCGACCAGCCTCGAATCAGGCTGCCTGCCTTGCCAGGGCGCACGGGCTCTCGGGCTCCCCAACGTCGGGCCGGCCCTCTTCGCACGAGTTTCTCGTGTGGTCCATGAGGCTGCTTCCCCCCCGCCCGGCCCCGACAGTGCGGAATTGCGATACAAAACGCACGGGGAGCGCTTCTGCCACAGCCTCTTGCCGTGGGGCCCTCACGGATGGACCTGGCTCGAGGCATGCCGCAGAAAGATTGGGTCAAGGGCCCCAGCCGTAATGTTTCCGCGACTCACGGCGCGGGATCCCGAAGTTCTGGCGCACCGGCGCCACCGCCGTTCCTTTTCGCGGGGTTCCCTCTGGGAGGCAGTCAGCGCTTGTTTTGCTCGTCCCATACGCCTCCTCGTCGTCATCCCTCTCCGCATCTTCCGCCGCCTCTCGCTCCGCTTCCCAGGAGGTAGGTAGGGATGACGGCCAGCAATTCGCACACGCAGGGTGCGGCCCGCAGGGTGTTGGCGGGCGCGCTGTGCGGAATGTAAGGGTGTTCGTGGCAGAACGGCCTCGTGCGCGCGCAGTATGTTCAGAACATGTACTTGTGCACGGTCGCAGAGGTGGTGCATGCACGGGCACGCTTGCTTTGGATAGCCAGGGCAGGAGACTTGGATGTGGCGTGGCAGGTATTTGCTTGCCCCCAGGTGACAGCGGTTACAGGCCTGCGCGCTTCGTTTCGAATCGCAACAGTCCATGGCGGTGTCGCTGTGGCGGTGACGGTGCAGCTCCTGGGATGTAGGGGGTAGTTACTGAGATGCACCAGCATGAGGAGCAGTGCGCCCCAGATGAGATCGTGAGCCCGGTAGTGGGAGTTGCATTCTTCACGTGTGCGCAGGTAGCGAACCTCAACATCCGCGTCCAGAGCTTGCAGGATGCTCCTCCATTATTGTAACAATGTCTGAGGCGGACAACCTGTCGGCGGCATGCCAACGGCCAGAGCCAGGGAATTATGTGCAAAATTATGCTCGGCTCCAGAAAACACCGTCTGCTGGTTGGTGGCCGTGCTCCCACGTGATATTCAGGTTTTTTGTTTCTGGTTGAAGTGCGAAGGCGATCTTGTTGTATTCGAGGGAGTTGGGCCCCCAGCGATGTGTTATAGTTCCATATGCTTGCACGTCTTCTTGCAGGCACAGTTGGGACCGGGACGCCCCGGCACGACTTGTCGGCGTGGCTCTCCCGTGACCAGCACGGTATATTGAGCGAAAATGGCGATGCTACATTGTCTACCAACACCGAGACTATTTCCCGTGCGCGCATTTTGGTGATACACGCGTCCGTTGCGATTTCGATGGCTTTCGTTGGATTTTGGCGAGCTTTTCAAGCGAAGCCACGCGAGTCTCACTAGACCCCAGGCCAGCAGAGTCCAGGCAAGGCAACACGAAATACAGAAGGCCGCGCGAAATGTAGACGCCCGCGCTTTGTCGTTCCGCACACAGTTGGCACGAGGGTTGAAAGCAAACCTAGTTCGGGAGGAGGCCCCTTCTGTTTCCATGGGGCAGTTGGCCGATCTGCATGTTTAACGTGGCCGGCCGCATCACAACTGAAGTCTAACATCGGGATTATAGTTTCTCCCCCGTAGCGGAGGCGGTTGCGGCGGGCGAGCCAGCACTGAACCTCGCTTCGTTCTGCTTCTTCTCCTGCCCCCTTGGGACCTGCCACTCGTGGAAGCAGGCTAGTCCAGCTTCCAGCCTCCAGTCTCCTCATTCCGCTCCTTCTTCCGCTTCTTGCAGTTGGCGTCGCTCGGACATGTGCATGTCTTCTCCCGGCGAGGACCATCGAGGAGCATTTTGGATCATCCTGCGAAAAAAAAAAAACGCCCGAACCCGAAAAGCGCACGGGGAGTGGACGTCCGAGTCATGGTAAGTTGCTTCCGGGCTCCGGGCGCTGCTTTTCCGCCAGGCGGTGGGCTGTCCAGGGCGCGCCGGCTCTCGGGCATCGTGAGATTTGTGTTTATCCTCTGGCAAGCAACGGTCGTTGCCCGGGCTGAGCCTGCGGCACAGGCCCTGAGCTGTTTTTGCAAGTTTTCTTGCGGCTTTCTGTCCGTGCCCCCCCGTACCTCCTCGGCCCCTTCTGGGGTGCCCGTCTTCCGTCCTGGGCCGTCGTCTTCGGAAGACTGTGGCCTTTATCCTCTGGCGCGTAACGGTCGCTACCTGGCCCCACCCCCCCGGCGTTGCAATTGCTTCACATATTGGGCGGTTTCGCCGTGCTTCGGGCCTCGAGGCCATCACAGATCGACCCGGCTCCAAAGTGCAGCAGCAAGATGGGTCTTAGGGTTTTGGTCGTGATTTTTCGCGATGCCTTTTTTTCGCGACGTCGGATCTCAGGGAGATTATGTGTTTCATCCTCTGGCGCGTAACGGTCGTTGTTGGGCCCCTCCCCAGGGTAACGGTAACGATCGTACGTTTGGGGGCCTGGACCCCACAAACCCACATGCTGGTGCTTGCGCGCATACTAAGACCATCGCCCCCGCGCAGCCCCGCCCCGACGTGCCACACTCCGCCCAAGCGGTACTCTTACCGGAAAGAAGTCACAGGGCGAGTTGAGCATGGCGGCAGTCCGACTTAAGGAGCCACCTCGTCGCCACGGCTGGACTTGACTCGGGGAATTGGTGCTCTTGGACCGCAGGAGGGGTCTGGGGACCGAGTTTGAGTTGTCGGTTTCTCAACTCGCCCTGCTCCAAGTTTACTCCTCCTCCCCTTCGAGAGGTCACTGGCCCTGGTGGGCAGAAGAGGGCTTCTCCGCTTTGAGCTCGCACTGTTCAGAACGTCCTCGGCCCAGGGCTGAAGTGCCGATGAATTGTCGGAGGTCCGCGCGGATTTGTAGGATCGGAGCTGGATCCCCCTGCGGCGCCTCAGGCACCGCGCCCCAGCGCGCTTCGCCCGCCAGGGAGGGATAGCCAGCGCCGATCCAGGAAATCCGCGCAGGCCTCCGGAAGTGTCTGTCTATGCCGTCGTCTCTTGCTCCACCAGTCAGGGGCAACGGCAGGGGGGATAGACTCAGGGGGGGGATGCATCGACCCCCGATCGCCCCTTCGTCGCCGATGGGTGCTCGACCCCGCCCAGGACCGTGCGGATTCGCCATCGGGGGCCTACCGCCGATCTATCGGCCGTATATCGCCGATTCCAGGTCGATGGTTTCATCCACTGAGCCAGTTCCCCCCCCCCTTCTGCTGTTCCCCCTCCACTGGAGAGGCGGGGGGGGAGCACCGCTCCCGCAGCTGTTTGGCCGGCCGGCGGTGGGGAGGGGGCATAGGTGAGGGCCATTCACGGACATTGTGGTAAGCCAGGGCTCCGGCGATTTCGTGGACCGTTTTTGTTTTGCAGCACAGGGGAAAAGGAATACAGAACGAGGGAAGACGAAGACAGAGCGAACACGGAAAGCACTGTTCAGCTCCAGCCCCGGTGGACGTGGTTAGCCCTTGGTCAGCAAATGTCCTGGTCTGGAGGGCCCTGGGATGGCAGGGCGACCGCGGCCGGCGGCGCGCACGCCAGGGGGTGGCGCGAGGGGGGGCGGCCTGCTGAGAGGGCGGGTGGCTTCGGAAGTGCAGGTCGACCACGCGCAGAGGGGGGGGGCAGGGGAGAGGGGGAAGGCTGCTCAGAAGCACCCCTGCTCCTCAGAAGGCATGGGCCTTGCCTGTAGATGTGAGGCCGGCGCCTTCTTGGAAGCGGCCTCCTTCCAAGAAGCCTTCCCCCCTTCCCCTACCCCTTTGTGCGCGCCGCCCAGGGGCACCCCCCTGGGAAAGCAGTGCAGCTACTTCTGCAGGTCGTGTCGAGGAATCGTCCTGGGGACTTCCCAGGGGGGGGGGTTCGCCCCGGCTCCATGTCTGACGCCGCCCGGGGACGGCGAGAAGCCGACGGCGACGAAAACCGACTAATCTACGATTCAAGTGAGGTCTCTGCGAGCTCTTCTCGGGAGCCCCCCAGGACCCTTCTGAGAAGGCTCCGCTCTTTCTTAGAAGCCCAGGACACAACGTGGTGGGACCCATGTGGAAGCAGTTCCCCTTCGCACAAGTTGATTTAGCAAAATTCCCACCACCAACAGCAAAAAACAAGCAGCAGCAACAGCAGCAGCAGCGACAGCACTAGCACTACACACCGACCACCCACCAACAGCAACAGCAACAAAACACCGACAGCACCGACTCAGACAAAACACCGGCAGCACCGACTCAGCCCTGCCACCAACACCGACCAAAAACACCACCGACAAGCACCATTGAGCACCACTGGCCAACGGCATCGACCACCACAGACCACCACCGAGCACCAGCGCAAAACACCTACCATCAACACTGACCACAGCACAAGCACCGACCACCAGCACTGACCACCAACAGGTAACACCGACCACAAGCACAATCCTGAACCTCGCCTTCCTCATCTTCTATTTGCACTGGGTCGTGTGCTAGTTCACCCACACCTCCATATGAGCATGGTTCGTGGAATATCGACGACGCTTACGGCGAATCACCGCCGCCCCCTGTCTTTTGGAATCGCCCATGTGGCGAGCGTTGTGGCAAGAGCTCTGCAATACTATCGGACCAGGTGTTCCCGTAGCCGTTGTGGAAGACCTTCGGGGAGCATTTGGGGGAGGATGGCGGGGAAGATCAGGAGGAGGAGGAGGAGGAGGTGGCATCTTGGGAGCCTCTGGGGGCACTTTTGGGGGAGGAGGAGGAGGAGGCGGCGGCGGCGGCGGCGGGATTTGCACATCTCACCGCCTGGGGAAACAATCTTCCTGGACCTCGGGAGGCGGTGGATGCAGATGTATTCGGGCCCTCTGGGGTCCCAACATATTCATACCTGCCGGCCGCTGGGGTCCTGGGAGATCGCCGACCTAATTATGCATGAATGAGTTTCCCGGGCGCGGAGTATGGACGTATCGGAGGAGGCGGAGGAGGGCGGCGAGCTGGGGCGGGGCGCCGGGCGATGGGGCGAGCGGCGAGGGGGAGGCCGCCGGCCGGAGCAGAGCGCTGCAGTGGAGGACGGCCCGCGGCGGGGGGCAGGAGCAGAACCGCCAGTACCGGGCGCGCCGCCCGGGCCTGTCTCTGCCCGTCCTGCCCCGCGGCCTCGTCGAGCCCCGCCCTCCTCGGCGGGCACTCCAGCCGCCCGCGGCCTGCTCCCACGCCCGCCGCTCGGGGGCAACGTTGTGGGGGGGGGGGGTCGAGGTTCGACGTTTTCGCACGTTTTCGTCCGTTCTCGGCGGTTTTCTGGCCTCGGGATGCCTTCTAGCGGCTGCGCCTCGCCGAGGGCGTTCCGGGGGTGCCCAGATTGTCCCAGACGGCCGCTGGAGAGCCGGACTATGGCCCGAAAGCAAGGGAGCTAGCGGGGCTAGGCCCAGGGGGGGAAGCATCGACCGCTCGAATGGAAACATGAGTTTGCAGCACGAAACCCAAGCGCGCCACGCAACAATGTTGCCGCGAGAGTCACAACGACAGTTCCAACGGTCTTAAGTCAGTGGTAATTTTTGGACTTCCGACTAGATATGCATTGAGTAGTGACATCGGCCAGTTCTTCGGTAGAACCTACGCGCGCGCGCGCGCGAAGCGCGCGCGCGTGGCTCTGGTGTACCAAGCGCGCGTGCGGAGTGTGAAGGGCGCGATTCCCCGAGCGGAGGCGACGTGTGGAGAAACACGTTCGTCCTGTGCTCAGTCATATATGAGTGATAATGTGCGCAGTGGCGCAACATACCGCAATAGCTCAGAGGCGACGTGCAGAAATACTTGTATTCCGTGTTTCAATTGTTTGAGCATTCTGGTGCTACCGGGGTGCCAAGAGTGTCTCTTGCACCAGACGAACATGGCGCACGTAAAGGCCAGGCGCGCGTTGCGCGCCTGGTACACGTCGTGCACTTGGCGCACATGTTCCAACTGGCACGCCAGCACACTTGGTGCAACTCGCACATCCAGCGCGCGTGGCGCACCCTGCACGCCTGGTGCAGCTGGCGCGCGTGGCGCGTTCTTGGCGCGCCTGCCGTTCTTGGTGCATTTGGCGCACCTGCAGCGCCCGTCGCACCCAGCGCACTTGTTTCTCACTCGGCGTATTTAATTGCTGCGCCTGGCGCCTTGCGCTTGCTCTGCGCTTGGCTCACCTGCCGTTCCTGGCACGTTGTCTGCACCTGGTGCGCACCTGGTGCGCACCCGGCTCACATGGCGCACCTGTCGCACCTTTCGCATTTCGTCCACCTTGTGCGCCTGGCGCGCTTGAGCGTCTGGCGCGCCCAGTACACCTGAGGCGATAGCACAAGACCAATCCTCATTGATTTCCCGGTGCACGGAGGCTTTTGAAACGTTGTCCTATTTTAACACCCACAAGACCAGCCCAGCACGCATCCCGCAATAGTACAGCAGTCTTCGCTGACCCAGAGCGGAGCTTACATTTGATTCCGGTTCGCAGTTCTTCCTACAATGATGAGCGCAATAATTACATTTGTTACCACTACCACTATTCCCAGCACAACACCGATATTACGACACTACGACAAACGTTCCATTCATGTTGCCAGTGCCAGTGTTGTTTCCGATGGCGCGCTGCCGCACCAACTTTTTGGACGGTGACGTTCGGCCTTGGAGTCGAGGAACAAGTTCCTTGTCAATGCTACTAACTCGCGCAAGTCGATTTGTTCTTGGTGCATTTGCACGTATGATTGTAGACTTCCTTGCGCAGATGAACAGGAGCGCTCTTCATAGGCCGATGATTGTACCGCTTGTTCCGAATAGTCAGTGCCAATGTGTTCGCAGCATTTGTTAAGGTCATCGCTCCCTTTCAATGGCGATCTGCCTTGAGATCGCTTGTGGGCCGACAGCAGTTGCCGAAAAAGGGGCCCCCGAATCACATGTTGTAATATTGGTGCCAGCGTCCGTGCAATGATGTCCGTAAGCGACAGGAATTGTACTCCAACGCCCAAGATACGTTCCTCCCCCAACCCGCACGTTGTTTCGAGCACTCTATTGTTACCGATGTTTCGTGAGCTTGGTTGCAGCCATTAAGTTTTTGATGTTGATTGTGCTGAATTCGCGGAGGTGAATCGAACATTGCGTTCGGCCGCTGGTAGCTCCCGCCATGCTGAAAGTCCGACAGAAGCCCCACTTTTCAAATTTAGTTTCATGGCGACCGATTCTGACCCAGCTAAATACTCTCAGGGGAATCGAGCGTGGACATCTTGTCTGGTCATGATCACATCACGGTCGCGTCAGCACGCCTATTGGCATCATTTGTTTCGGCGATTGGCCGAGGCCTTACCATTCGCACACCCCGCTCGTGTTCATTCATGCCACTCGCCTGGTGCAGATGTTCTCGCTTCCCCTCAGTCGATGGTTTACAAAAAAATCGGTTGGTGTTGACAGACACTGATTCGGCTAACCAAGAATTGCCAGTATGTCTGCTTTAGTTGTCGGCGCACGTTGATTGCACATTGCGGTTCATGTTTCATGTCAGTTTTTTTTCATGCGTCACCCTGCTTAAGCATCTTAAGCATGGGCGGCGTACATAAAATATTGAAGCATCAGTGTTTGTAACATAACAGTGGCCAACGCTCAGAACAGACGGGGTATATCGGTCAAGTGATCATGTGTAACCGGACTAGTAGCAGTAGAAGTGGTAGTAGTAGTAGTAGTAGTAGTAGTAGTAGTAGTAGTAGTAGTAGAAGCAGTAGTAGTAGTAGTAGTAGTAGTAGTAGTAGTAAAAGTAGTAGTAGTAATGCGTTTAGTATGATGTTTCGTAGTAGTAGTCGTAGTAGTAGTAGTAGTAGTAGTAAAGTTACTAGTATCAGTAGTAGTAGTAGTAGTAGTAGTAGTAGTAGTAGTAGTAGTAGTAGTAGTGGTAGTAGTAGTAGTAGTAGTAGTTGCAGTAGTAGTAGTAGTAGTAGTAGTAGTAGTAGAAGTAGTAGTAGTAGTAGTAGTATAGTGGTGGTGGTGTGTGGTGGTGTGGTGGTGGTGGTGTGGTGGTGGTGGTGGTGGTACTAGTAGTAGTAGTAGTAGTAGTAGTAAGTAGTAGTATAGTAGTCGTAGTAGTAGTCGTAGTAGTAGTAGTAGTGGTAGTAGTAGTAGTAGTAGTAGTAGTAGTCGTAGCAGTAGTAGCCGTAGTGGTTGTAGAAGTGTTGATAGTCTTGGCAGTAGTAGTCGTAGTAGCAGTCTTAGTAGTAGTCGTAGAAGTAGTAGTAGGTAGCAGTAGTGTAGCAGTAGTAGTAGTAGTAGTTGTTGTAGTAGTCGTGTTTAGTCGTAGTCGTAGTCGTCGTCGTCGTAGCCGTTGTCGTAGTAGCAGGAGTCGGTGTAATAGTTGGCGTAGTCTGTAGTAGTAGTAGTGGTAGTCGTCGTAGTAGTGGTAGTAGTAGTAGTGGTTGCAGTAGCAGTAACAGTACTAGTAGTAGCAGTAGTAGTAGTAGTATTAGTGGTACGAGTGGTAAAAGTAGTAGTAGCCGTAGTAGTAGTAGCAGTTGTAGTATAAGTTACAGTAGCAGTAGTAGTA